CGACTGGCAGTACTCGCAGCGCGAGCTGGACGCCGTCGAGGTCTTCTTCTCGCGCACGGCCCGGGACAACCGGCTCGGCTGCATGTTCGTACGCTGCGCGCCCTCCAGCCGCTACACGCTGCTCTTCTCGCACGGCAACGCCGTGGACTTGGGCCAGATGTGCAGCTTCTACATCGGCCTCGGCTCGCGCATCAACTGCAACATCTTCTCCTATGACTACTCGGGCTACGGCGTCAGCTCGGGCAAGCCCTCCGAAAAGAACCTCTACGCCGACATCGACGCCGCGTGGCAGGCGCTGCGCACACGGTGAGCCCGGCAGGGTCGCCAGGCCCGGCCTGCAGCCGTGGAGAGGCGGGTGGGAGGGGGTCTCCTGAGCCTTGGGGCGGCTTGCGGGAAGAGGGGCTGTGGACGAGTGGAGAGCCCCCCGGGTACAGTGGGTTAGCCTTTCTTTTTCATCTTTTCCCACTCTGTCCACAAGCCCTGCCAGCCCTGATGTTCCGGGCAAACTCAGAGTTGGAGGGTTTTGCTCACTTTGCTGTGCCTGGATGCTCCATCCGCCAGGGTCTTTTGTGGCTCAGATCACAAGAGCTTTGGTACCGGGCAGAAAGCAACATTTTGATTTGTGTTGAGTTTGTATGAGCTGGCAGCCAGAGGCTGGCGTGACCTTGGGCGAGGCACATGTGCCTTTAGATCTCCGCTGCCTTCCCTGTAAAATGAGGGGGTGAGGCCGGATGACCTCCAAAAAGACTTCCCGGTTGCAAATGCTCTGCGAGGCAGTCAGTGTCTGGCAGCCTTGGAGGCTTCTGGAGGGTTGCACAGTGCAAGGAGTTTGCCTCCTGGTGGGGCAGAGGAGCTGGCACGGTGGAGACAGGAAGTTCTCTGGTGGCTTGGCACTCTCCACAGAGCCTCAGTAACAGCTGGGGGAGTTTGAATCTGAAAGATTGGAGGAATCCCATGACCTTGAATTAACATTGACAGGGGACTAGAAAACACTTGTATTTATGGAAGGCCTTTTATGTGTGTGCCAGGTACAGATTGGTTCATGTTTAGGGAGTTAGACCTGGTAAAATAAACAAATGAAAAGCTTGGGTCATAGCCTCAACTTATCCAAAAGCTTGGTAAGTGGGCAGATCTGGTCACTTGTTTGTGCCCCAACTTTAATATCTATGGCCATTCCCTTATCCCTCCTAGCCCTGAGGGTGAAAAGTACCTGTGGTTATGTTTATAAAGAGACTTGATTGGTTCTGAGGAAAGGGCCCCCCCCAGAATAAGTACAATGGACACTTGCTGCTGTGGACACTTGGAGGGCTTTTGTCTGACACGTGTTTGCTTGGCTTATGCGCATCTCCCACTTTAATGATCCTGCCTCCATTCATGTTCATGGATCTATTCACAAATTTCCCAGCCCTTGAGTGTCTGGGAAAATGACTTGTCCAACAGGGAAGTGTGTAGTATTTAGCGTGCGTTGCTTCTTTGTGTCCTCCTTTGGAGTATAACGTTTGGAATGATTTTGGCAGATGAGAGTGTTTCATAGACATATCATTAAGGCCTATGATAATCTATAAGTAGTTAAAAGGCACTGTTTCCAGTACAGGTTTTCAAATATATGGATCATGTGTAATCAGTAGAAGGCTCAAATTTGCTCTTAAAAATAAGGATCGGCATTCAATATTTGATAATCCTACCTTGAGTAGGTTTAGTATAGAAATTTTTGTGGAACATTGTTCCTGTGTGTGGGAGTCCACACTGAAGAGGAAATCTTTGTGATTTAAGGCTCACCCTTTGCCCTGAATACGGAGGTGTGTCTGTTACAACATACGTCAGGCGTACTTATTTCCTGGAAACTTGTCATACTTTGTTTTATATGACACAGTTTTGGATAATGTAAATTTTGTAATCATCAGATGGTTTATCTGCATTTTTGGTAAGAATTAATTTTATGTCAGAACTCATATCCAATTAAATTTATCTACTTGTAATCTAGGTGAAAATGTAAAGGCTAAAGGGGAAGAAACCTTAGAAATCCTTTTGTCCTGTTCTTTTCAAACTTTTTTTGACTTTGACCCACAGTTGGATGCCTGTTTTGCATCTTGACCAAGCGCACACCTAATGCATGTGTGTCTGTATAACTGAAATCAATGTTGAAAACACAATGGTTTTACCTATAGGCCAGATGCATGTCAGAATATATTCTGTTTTACTTCATTTGTGTTTT